TAAATAAATAAAAAAATATGAGCTGGGGATGCAGCTCACTGGTACAATACTTGCCAAGCATGTATGAAGCCCTGGGCTCAATTCCCCAGTACTGAGGAAAATAATAAATAAATAATGCATTACAATCAAACTGGGCCAATTAACCTCTGTTAATTTCTTGTACCTCCCAAGAGGCACGATGTCTGCTCACTCTTAAAGAGGCGGTAGCCCCTCCCCCAGAAATCTTCAGCTCTCTGCTTGGTGTGGATCAGAGCCTGCTGACCCCAGGAACTAGTTTCCAGATGTGGCCTAGAACTTGTGATCTTTGTGCCTCCGCCTCCCATCAGACTTTTATCACTGTTGTATTTTTATTTATTCACTGATCAAGAATGCAAACCTTTTCACATAGCCTTAGAGATCTTTTTCAAAAACTGTCAGCCCTCCTCTCGACCCCAACGAGAGCCACACCTTGCAGGGGAGGGTAACTACTGTACTTTGGCATCGTCTGCTGGGGACCTCCCTTATGTGACTGGCCTCTGTTGGTCCTTGTCCCCTCCCTTTGTTTTCAACAGACAGCATCATACAACAAGGAAAATGAAGAGAGAAACTGCATACATTTGGTTCCCTTAGCTGCTGTATAATTTGCCAGATGTACTGTACATTTCTTTAGGCCCAAGCTTGTACTAATGGTGAGAAGGTGACAGGTGGTTATGATCCTGATGGTTTTGCATGCAGAATGGGGCAACAGCAAGGTAAACTCCAGTGTGGGTTACAAGTCTTCTGCCTCATCTCCAAAGCAATTCCTTGGGGCCTTGCTACCTGCCGGTACTCCAGGGCTCGCATGTCACAGGCAGGCACATCCTTAGGACACCTGCGAAGTCAGTTCTGTATTCCCAAGGAACCATCATATGTTGTTGATTGGCACTTGTGCAAGCCAACGCGAAAACATCCCTGAGAGTCGGGCTCGTTCTCGTTGACTCTCCAGGAACAAGACACTTTCTAACTCTGAAAGTAGCACTATTTTAAACACAACTACAAGAAGTTTTCATTTAATTTTTTAAGGATCCAACACTAGTCCTAAAACCTTATCCCCTTAGGCTCCAGTGAAGTCTTGGGTCTCCACTCTCACACATAGCCGCCCACCTGCGTATCACAGAACAGTGGTTTCAACACAAACAGCTGCTGTCCCTATTCCAAGAGGCAGTGGAGAAGCTAAGACATCATCCCCTGTTATCTTGAGTCTCTCCAAAAACCAGCTGCTTTTCCTCTGACAGCCTGGAGCCGTTTTGCACGCAGAATGGGGCAATTCCATGTCCAATCTGCTATACAATGCTGGGATCCTTCCCCCACCCAGAAAGCTTCATGCTGGTGCCATGTGGAGCTCTCTCTCTGCTCTGGCTGGTAGCTGACAAAGATGTCATTTGCTCCCTGGTACTGAGAGGGGAGAGGGCCTGTAGAGACAGCAGCCTATCCTCCTGAGAAGGCCTGCCAAGTACTTTGTTTATCTTTGGGTCAGTGAAGCATTTGAAATAACCATGCCAGGAACACTCAGGGTAAACATAATAATACCCAAGAAAAGGTGACAAGAATACCTGGACAGAACCCTCCCCGAACAGGTCATTTCATCTTCACTGTCTTTTTCATTCTGCTCACATGACCCTTAAGATGGTTGCGAAGTGACCTTTACTGCCTCAGAATAGTTGATGTGCAAAAGAAATACTGTGTTTCCCTGAAAATAAGACCTAACAGGAAAATAATCACCCTTGAAAACTAGAGATCAAAAATGCCAGCTCTAATCAGTCTATCCCTGTCTTAGCTGGCATTACAGAATAACGACCAAGCAAGAGGATAGTGAAGTATAATCTTCTGTATGAAACTGGCCATCACCTTGGTAACAACCAAATAGGGCTAATTTTACAGTTAGGTCTTATTTTCAGGGAAATATGGGCTGGAGCCAAGTGTGGTGGTACACACCTGTAATCCTGGTACTCTGGGAAACTGAGGCAGGAGGATCACAAGTTCAAGCCCAGCCTGGGCAATTTAGTGACTTAGTGGGATCCAGTTGCAAAATAAAAAATAAAAAAAAAAAAATAGCTGAGGATGTAGCTCAGTGTGGAGGCCCTGGGTGCACCCCTCAGTACCAAAAAAAAAGAACAGCCATGTGCTAGATGTCATCCAGACAGAGAAGGTGTCCCCTGATACCCTAACCTATCAGGCTAGGCCTAAAGTTAACAGGAGGTAATAGAGGCTTAGACAACTCTGGAAATTCTGGTGACTGAAGCCTTTCAGAATACCTGACTCAAAACAAGGCCACTGTGGAGGCAGACAGACCTGGTCCAAACTGGGAGACCAACAAGGGCCGCAGGTCTCCCGGGACCCACTTGACAGTCACGTCTCAGAGTGTCCTTCACCAGGAGGGGAACGGCTCAGAGGCACCAGAAATGCTGGGTGCTAACACTGCCCAGGCTCAGGGCGCTACCGAAGGATATCTCCAGAAGCCGAAAATTAAATATGCCTTGAGAATGGGGCCAAAAAACATTACATAAAGTGGGAAAAGAGGCTCTGCTGGGGCTCTAGTGCCTTCCTCACCACCCTGACACCTTCCCCATTACCCTGCTCCAGCAGCACACACCAGCTAAATATTCTCAGCGCAGATAAAACAAAAGAGAAATGCTCATTTGGAGAGCCTGAGCACCCATGAATAGGAACAAAGGCAGGCTGGGCGCCACATGTTTCTCTCCAGCCTACCCCCATTACATGGGTGAAAACACACAGTCTTCTATCAGAGCTCGGGGGTCGCTAAGGATTAAAAAACATCAATAGCGTGAGCTTTCCCTCAGAACCTGCTACTATAGAGCTCTGGATTGAAGAACACTTAGTAAAGAGTTATTAAAAACAACAGCAGTGCTAGAAAATTCTAACCTGTGGTGTAGCTTCCTTTTCACTGTTTTTAGAGTATCTACTGTGGATTTTAAAGTCTACTTTAATACAGTTTCTGAGAGCTTAATATGCACCTCGGCGGAGTCCTAGAGGAACACTGTTTATAGGTTGCTCTATTTGAAGAACTAAAGGCCTAGGATGGAAGGGATCACGGTTCCAAATCGCCACAATCTGCTGGCGCAGGCGGACATGAATCTGCCAAGCAAGGAGGTTGAAACGCAACAGAAAATCAGAGAGCGTTTCCAGACCACAACTCAAATTCTTGGGTTTGGGTTTTAGTTCCAGACAAATACGTTCATTTTAAATACTCTTCAGGGGATCCAAGAATGTCTGAATTGTTGAAGAATTTAGACAACACAGCTTGCAGAAAGGAACTGCATTTGTAGTTACCTCGGTCGTGAGGAGCCTGCGTCTCTAATCAGCCTACGAGGAGAGGGCTGAGCCAGGGCTCTGGAAGCAACAGATGACTGGAATCCCCACAAGTTGCCTGTGACGGGGTGGAATCTATGCTGTGTGCACGCAAGCAATGGCTTTACCTACAGGTCCCTACCTCCATACCCAGCCATGGGAAGAGAAAGCCAGACTGAGTTGTCGTGAAGCGGCTTTGAGCAACCACAAGGGGAAACCACACAAGGGGAAAGATCTGAGACAGATCACTCTGCTCTGTGACTTCATGCGTTTCTACCTCCAGTAGGTCTTCTTTGGACTTCAGTGCACACCAAAGAGTCCAGAGAACCTGGCAGGAAAATGAAACCCAAATGGCACCCAAGGGCCACATCTAGCATGAGCTTAAAAAAAAAAAAGCTTTGTGATTAAAGGCAGTGTGTGTGCCTGCCTGGCCCCAAATGCTGGAGATGAGCAGCCTTGGGGTGATCTTAGCCATCAAACCACTGGCCCCCGGTGGTGTCTCTGACAGTTGTTTTTAGTACACAAAGGGGTATCTGAGTGATTCAGAAGGTATGCATCTTTATCCTTAGAAAATGAGACAAAATCATCTTCCATGGAGAAACCCTTGAAAAGTCACTGGAACAATGAATCTACAAACTTGTGATCAAGTAGAACTTAAAATGACCTCACTCTTAAGATATGGGAATAAATGAGCAGCACATGGTAAAAGGAGTTAATAGTCTAATATTTAGGGCACTTGCCCTAATCACAGGCAGACGCAACCACAAGGAGTACAGCCACCATTATGTGGTTTTTGGTTTAAGAAGGATTAAAAGGATGATATTTGGTTAAAAATAACTGATTGGCCACATGTCCTTAATGCCCCTTCCTCCCGAGACTCCACCAAAGTAGCAGGAACAAAAAAGGTGGTAACTCCAAGCAGAGAGCATGAGGAGGAGGCCATGACAGCAGCCAGCTCTGCAAATCTGTGGAGAGAGGAATGGGGAATGCGAATGGATGAAAGAATCCACAGGGCAGACAGTACCCAGGGAGGGAGTTCTGCCCCTCGGAGCCCTGAGGCTCAGAGTTCCAAAACGCAAAACACGGGACAGGACCGGAACTAGCTTGGGGCTGGAAGCAGGGCAATTTATGGCCAGTTTCCGTAGAAAGGATCCAGCCCCCTCCCCACCCACCAGAGCAAGGGGCAGGCTCACACTGGTGCTGTGGTTTTTCGGCACCTTTTTGAAAAACTTGGCAGATCATCCATCCTATTTCTCCAGAGACATCTAGTCCTGTTTGCAGCGTGCTCTATTTAAAGATTAGAATCAAAGAATATGAAAGCGTGCGAGGACCTCAGAGCTCCCCCAGACGGGCACCGATTTTGCCAGGTGAGGAAAGGGAAGGTAAATAACTCGCCCACGGTTCCCGGCAGCACCGTTCAGGCTCCTCCTCACACCTCCAGATTTTCTGTATGCTTCACTTCTCCTGTAAAGTCACTGGGTGTGGGGGGACTCTCAGGTGTGGCTCTGCCTGCTGCCCCCTAGCAGGGCAGAGGTAGCGTACCTTCGGAGCGGTGGATGCACGTGTGCTGATTGTCACTCAGGAAAAAGCCCTCCTTGCAGCGGCACTCGTAGCTCCCCATGGCGTTGACACAGGTGTGCTGGCAGCCGCCATTGTTCTCCAGGCACTCGTCCACATCTGGAGGGGGAGAGGGATTAGCCTTGCCTCTACAACTGTTTCAAATGCCCCGCCCAGCCTGGCAAGCAGACATGAGGGCCCTCTTCTATCCTGCACCACAGAAGCTCTCAGAATCAAAGCAGATGATTAACCCAGCCTTCACGTGGCCAGGCCCCTGGCACAAACATGAGATCCCCAGCTCAGTCAGCTTGCACTGAACACCTTTGCTTTCCAAGGCCCGGTGCTAGATGGCAAGATAACATTCCTGCCCTCCAGAAGCAAGCGCTTCAGGGCAGGGAAGGAGACCGATACACCAATGATTCTGAGACAAGGGGAAAGTGGCACAGAGGGAAGGGAGGTCACATCTGGTTGTGTGGCATCAGCATGGGTTTTGTGGAAAAGCTGATAAAAGATGGGCCCTTAGGATCGCTTCAGTTCTAAGTCCTGAGAGAAGAGACAGCAGGCGGGGGAGGGAGCGCGAGCCGGCGCTGGCGCACAGCGGCTGGGAAGCACGAAGAACTCAGACCGCAGTGAGTCATTTGATTTGGCTGGAGCACAGGGGACATGGAGGGAGTCACAGGAGATGCAGCGGGAGATAGACTGAGGTCACACGCAGGACCCTGAATTCCAGGCAAAGAAGCTCCTGCTTCACTCAGGATGCAGCTGTTTACACTGGAGCCGGGGAGACACAGGGAGACCCGGACTTTGGGGAAATTAGGGAGGCAACAGAGGGTACAGGGCACTGGGAGGAGGAGGAACAGGCATCCAGGGAATCCAGCTGCACATGAGCAGCTGAGATGGCCATGGCCCCGCTGCCCTTGCAGGGGACAGAGCCGGGGAGGGTGGTGTTTGCTGGGACGACAGGTACAGCAAAGACTGGATGGGCAAGGTGCCCATGAGGCTGGTATCAACATTCCCGTGCTCCTCAGACGATGAAAAGTTGGCACTGAGGCTGTGTAGAAAAGAAACATGGGGGAGACTGGCAGTGGTGCAGACACGGGGATGGAGCCGCAGTTGCCTCTTCCCCCAAGGCAGAGAGGAAGCTGCCTGACATGAGATACAGGGCTGGGAGGCGGGGAAAACCTGAGGGGCAGAGGTAGCATCAGCTCAGCCTTGAAAGCCATTTACCTGCGGATGTGGCATAAATAGACGGCTGCAGAAGAGGGAACCAAAGGAGGGAGTGCGGGAAAGCAGGAAAGGGGTGTGGACCGGGGGCAGAGAGATGCAGCATCCTGGGCAGCACTGGAGCAAGTAGAGGAGAGAGCAGGAGTCCCAGAAGTCCCAGAGAAGGTACCATGGAAAAGGCCGGGGGGAAAGAAGGCTTCTCTGACCTGCTCCTGCCACCCCATGGGGACCTCCCTTCCCCAAGGCTGTGACATTCTGTGCTCTGCGGTACTGAGACACTGACCTATCCACATCCTCAAAACCCTTTGCCTGTCCATCTTCACTAGATTGCAGACTCCGTGAGGACAGAGCTTTCTGTTTGAATTAGCATAGCCCTGCAACACGGCAGGCACTCATGCACTGTTCAGTGCGTGGACAAACAGCAGGAGAGTGCAGCGTCACTGGAGCCAGAGAACAGGAAACATCCAGAAGAGCCTCAGACACCACAAAGGCTCTAGAGAACACTGATTTAAAAAGCAATTTATTTTCTCAAGTCAAACTTCTCATGTGCCTATCACTAGCTCCTGGGCACATCTGTAATCAGAAAATTCACATTTAAATATCTGTTATCTGGTTTCAAGCCTCAGATCTTACAGGCATCTGTCCTCCCACACTACCGGGCAGATGCCTGACTAAACTGATGGGACCAGAGCCATTCCCTAAAGCCTAACAAACTTGCCCTCGTCTATGCCAAAGGCCAAAGGAAGCACATTCCAGAGGATGAGCTGTGCAGGGTGCACCTGGCCTAGATGTCCACGGTAGGGACGCACGGTGAGTGCTGCATGCTGGGTCAGTTATGAGTAATGCCACGCTGCTCTGGGGCTGCCGCTTTTAACTCACTACACCTTCTCTCCACAGCAATCAGAGATGTATTGTTAAGCTGGGTGCCAGATAAATACTGCAATCAGATAAATACAACAATGTGTGTATTCATACACACAAATACATATCACCAGGCTGATGAGTTTCCCCAGAGTACCAGACAGGGTTCTCAACTTATGCTAGCACCCAGATGCTGGGATGCCTCCTCCAGAGATTAATGTATGGTCAGGAGGCTGACACGAGAGAGGGGGTCATCCCAGAGAACACAAGAACCTGCCACTCCTGAAGAACTTAGGCTCTGGGCTTCTGTGCTACCACAAAGTATGTCTGCCCTTCCCAGTGTGAATAGCAGAAAAGTCTCTGTGTGCTGGTTTTACTCTTTCAAAGAGACTTTTAAAGAATCCTTAGCTCTGCAGACATGCTCAGTGGATGCTCAGGGTGTCTCTGCAAGCAGATGCAGTGATCGAGTACACAGAAAGACCCTGAGGAGGAAAGGTGAAGATACTCAGCTGAAATATTTGTGTTATGGGCTCAGGCAAGGCAAGACTCCAGGCATCAGGGTTTCTGAGCAGGTCTGTACTCAGAACCACCCCGCCCAGCCCTGGCCCGGGTCCTGAAACCTTGGATGGTTCAGCTTGTTGCTCTTAGGAAGCTCACACTTCCTCAGGCTGTGGATCAGAGCACAACAGTAATGACCAGGTCTACAATCGGATAGGAAGCCCCAAAATGCCACTGTTGGCAAATCAAAGGGAAATTTCCCTCTGAAAATGGAAAACAAAACAAACAAACAAAAACCCATACTCAGTGATTCTTAACAAATTACACACTGAAAGGGATTTCCCTTTCCTGAGTTTTAAATTTATCTCAGTTCATCCCTATCCTCAGGACTGCTCTCAAAGATGCCTTTTTGTGGTATGTTCATTACCTGAAAAGTCTACCGAAGGGTTACCGTTTCCCTAGCCTTCGACCAACGTTTCCTGACAGGGCCTGTGTCTTGCAAGGCCACAGGCCCTGTGGACCCAAGCCCGAGCTCTCCCACAAGGCACAGACAGGAAAGGACTGTCTACCTCAGGACAGAACTCCAGGTGAGCCTGAGGTGGGCTAAAGGTCACATCTAGGTTGAGTTCCAAATGGGACTCCTTCCCTCAACCACTCCAGAGCCCCAACACTGAAAACACAAGTTCGGCATGGATTCTTCCAGGGCCTCTTCACGCTGCTCTCAAAGCATCTTTACTTGATCAACTGGTTATTTCTACCATACCATAAAGGGCACCTGAATAGCTGTTCCCACAGAGTCAGAGCCTCGAACAAGCTGCTCCTCAGTCAGCCAGGTAGACACCAGCAGGTCAACTACATGAAGGTCATCACCATGAAGGACTCTGCTGCCATGTGTCTCCCACAATGTCTTCCTGTAAACCAATAACACTCGCCTTAAAAAGCAAACCACAAATACCTACCTGCCAGGTGTGCTGCCTTGCTCGAGAACTGTCTAACACTCAATCCCATTCAATAGCTCGCTAATTTCTAAGTTCTATTTTATCCCTGACATAAAGAACCAGTGAAAACAACACTCCTTGCACTCTCTAATTCAAGAACGGAAACTCTAACAGATGTTTCTGTTTTATGGAATACTAGGAGGATATTCATGGAAACTTTCTGTTTGATCTTCTGTCTTTCTAGAAAAGGGATGGGGGTGTATCTATCTGGCAGTGACCCAAGCACATATCCTAAAGGATAAGGAGTTTTCACCTAATTTCAGAAAAAAAGATATTTATAGGATTAATGAAATAGTTACAGGTCAAGATCCTTTTAACCCGAGACCAAAGATATTAAAGGTGACAGATTAATGTCAGAAAATCAATAAATTGTAATGACAACATCCACCTATCTCCTTGGGCTGATGAAGAATTTATGTTATGAATGACCATATAAAAACTAAAACACTTTACCTGATTTTCTAGCAGGAAGTCTGACTTCTTGGGGGTCAAAAAGCACAGGCCTCTCATATCCTTTTGTCTTAATAAGTAAGTTTTCACCAAAGGAAAGAAAAGGGAGGGGATGTTAGCAAGTGGGTACAGGAGAATTATCATTTCCAAATGCTTTTCTTACCAAGACAATTATGACCATCATGAGCCAACATGAAGCCATCAAAACAAGTACAGCGATAATTGCCTGGGATATTCAAACAGTCATGGACACAGCCTCCATTGAGTTCATTTCCACATTCATCAATGTCTGAGGAACAAAACAGAAACAAACCAAACAGGTGCAATTTCTTGGGGAGACGTATGCATTTATCTTTTAGTCAAGCATCCCATTTATCAGAATCCAGCCCAAAGCAAGAAAATCAGTATATACAAGGTTAAGTGCTTCAGCAATATCTGTAATTGTGAAATACTGAAAACAACCTGTCAATAAACAATACAACAGCTTAATGATTATGGTATATCTGCTCAGAGTAATAGGCAACTATTTTTTTAAAAAGGAAGAGGAAAATCTCTTAATTGATTTGCAGTGATTTCTAGAATGAACCCTTAAATGAAAAAATCAAAATGCATCTATAGTATACTATCTTCATTTAAAGATATAAAAACATACACACAAAAAAATTTCAGCTGTTTTTTTTTTTTTTTTTTTTTTGCTGTGCTTGACAAATTTATCCTGCAATCTATATGGAAATACAAAATGCTCAACAACAACAAAAAAAGACAGCCAAAACAATTTTATGTATTTAGTTCTTTGGGTACCGGGAATTGAACTCAGGACCTTGCACTTGCTGGGCAGGTGCTGTGCTGCTGAGCTATATCCTCGGCCCCAAAACCAATTTTAAAAGAGAACACATTTGGAAGAATAAACTTACAATAAAGCAATCCTTACCCAGACAGTGAGTATAGGCATAAAGAGATACATAGATCAATAGAACAGAACTGAGAGTCCAGAAACAAACCTTTCATTTATGATCACTCAGTTTTGGACAAAAGTGCTAAGGTAATTAATTCATTGAGAGAAATGATGGTCTTTCCAATAAACACTGTTATTTTGAATAACTGAATATCCATATGCAAAAGATGACTTTAGACCTTTACACAAAAAGTCAAAATGGACCAGAGACATAATAGTAAGAACTAAAACAAAAACAAAATTAAGGAAAAATATGTGATAAAAGTATTGGTGATATGGGCTATGTAAAGATTTCTTTGACACAACACCAAATACACAAACCGTAAATTTAATAGACTCCATCAAAATGTAGGATTTGTGAGCCAACTGGGATAGTGTATGCCTGTAACCCCAGCTACTCAGGAGGCTGAGGCAGGAAGACAACAAGCTCAATCCCAGCTTGGGCAGTTTATTGAAACCTTGTCTCAATATTAAAAAAATAAAAAGGGATGGGGAATGTAGCTCAATGCTCCCTGAGTTCAATCCCCAGTACTACAATCAATCAAGCAATCCATTTATTTATTTTTGAACATCAAAAGATATTAGGAAAATAAAGGCAAGCTACAGGTTAGTAGAAAGTATTTGCAAGCATTTATGAAGAACTCATAACTCAATAATAAAAAGACAAATGACTCAATTTTTAAATAGGCAAGAGATTTAAATGGACATATGTCACCCAAGATGACATGCAAATAGCTGATAAACACATTAAAAATGCTCAACATCATGAGTAATTAGGGAAATGAAAATTTAAGCCACAACAACATACCATTTCACACTGCTCCACTGGAATGAAAAAGACAGACTACGAATGGTACAAGGATGCGGAGAAGTGGTAAACCCGTGTACGTTGCTGGTGGGAACATAAAATGGCACAGCCACTTTGGAGAACAATTTGGTGGTTTCTTTCTCTCTCTGTTTTCAAGTGTACAGTTCAGTGTTATTAAATTATTTACCGTGTGCAGTTACCACCACCATTCATCTTCATAACTCTTTTTCTCTTGTAAAACTGGAACTGTTTTATCCGTTAAACAATAACCCTGTTTCCCTCTCCACCAGCCCCGGCAGTCACCGTTCTACTTTCTGTGTCAGTGCTTTGGCCCGCTCTAAATGTCTCACCTTTGTGGACCCAATTACTATGTGTCTTTTGGTAATGGCTTACTTCACCTAGCACAATGTTCCCAGGGTTCATTCACACTGTAGGATTTGACCAGAGACGAGTAATATTCCATGTGTGGAAGGTCATTTTGCTTATCCACTGCCCTGTCAATGGACACTTTGGTTGCTTCTCCCTTTTGGCTACTGTGAATAATGCTATGAACATGAATGTATACATAGCTCCTTAAAACTGTCCTAACAACTCCTTTGGATACATACCCAGAGGTAGAATTGCTGGATCATATGGCAATTCTATTTTTAATGTTTTGAAACCACCATACTGTTCTCCATAGAGGCTATATCACTTTATAGTCCCACACAGTGCACAAGGGGTCTAATTTCTCCACATCCTCACCAACACTTAGCTCTGCTCTGTTTTGTTTTTCATGGCAGCCATTCTAATGAGTATGAGTGACAGCTCATAGTTTTGATTTGTATTTTCCTAATCGTCACTGTGCTTACTGGCCAAGTGTACATCTTCTTTGGAGAAATGTCTATTTAAGTCCTTTGCATAATTGGGTTATTTGAGTTTTTAAACTGGATTATCCAGGATTGAGTTTTGGAGTTCTCTATTTTAGATATTAATTTCTTATTATATATGATTCATGAATATTTTCTCTTATTCTGTGAGTTATTTTTATAGCCTATTGACATCATCTTTTGATACATAAAGTTTTTTTAAAATTTTCATGAAGTCCAATTTGTCTGTAGTTACCTTTACTGCCTGTCTCTTGGGTGTCAGATGCAAGAAATCAGTTTGGCAGTTTCTTAAAAGTTAAACATAGGGGCTGGGGATTTAGCTCAGCGGCAAAAGCGCCTGCCTGGCAAGCGC